CTTCTGTCAGTCTAATTTTGTGATTTTATTTCAAGAAATTGCGAATTCATTGGTTATTTAGCAATATACGTAACCGCGAAGTCGAATGGCAGATAAAAGGACTTGCAGTTCTTTCTCGGAGACGGTATTATTGACTCATTTTTCGGAACTATAGCACAACAAAAGCCATCAACAGTGTATATATATGTGATATATATCCGGGAAAGAAGTACTCACTTTTTTCCCACGGAAAAAAAGTAATTTATGAAAAGTGACATTTATTTATAACCTGCCAACAGGGATGAAATGCCAAACTTTTTTCCCGTCACAGAAAAAACCATATTATTAGCTATCAATTCACGTTTGTATTTGAATACGTTTCGATTGAGATACCGTTCAGTTTCGTGTTTGGTATCTAATTATTTATAATTATATACTGGGATTACTGGGGCTTATACATTGCATGATCAAATCAAATATAACATTCTTCCGCCCGATAACAAAATACATAAAATATAAATCGAACTAATTCTCCTCATACAATTTGCATAACTAGCTAACAGGTCGTCTGATGATAACTCCATTGATAGTTTTGATATCAACATTTTCTCCTCTCCTGTATGGGTCATGTATGGGTACACTGCTACAACTCAACCTCTATTCCAATAGTTCCTCGGTCCATTATTGTGATGTATTCAGATCGAATTTATTATTATATACCTGTGTGACTCACTCTGAATGGTTCCTTTCAGCATCTTTTTATATACAGGGTGTAACTAAATAAGTGTAAAACATTCGAGGGGGTGATTCCTCATCGAAAAAAAGATAAGATCTTTCATATAAAGAAACTTCATTGAAGCATCCCATATTAAGATACAGCCCCTTGTAGGGGGTCCATGAAATTCGGTTACCAATTTTTTTCACAAGCACTAAAAAAGCTACAGTAATGAAATTGATCTGACATTTCCTACTACCAAAAAGACACTTAGCCAGTAATTTATTTGGTTCACCCCATAGTTATAAGGGGTTGGAAACGCAACCCCTAGATTTTATTTCCAATGGAACCTTTTGTCTTATTATTTGTTCACCATTTAAAAATTTATTTTCGATAGCCCGTTTCATGCTAAATAAAAAATGTCCCTTGAATTTTTCGAAAAAAATGAACCAGTTCGCAGCAAAAATCATTCTACGAACAACATACATATCGCCATAAAACGAAAATACGAAACTAATTCAGTTGGCTGCTATTAGCAATAGTGACAATTAAATTGGTATCAAGCTGTCAGTTTGTAAATTTTTGAACTTGAAGTAATACTAATTGTGTATTGTTGTTCTGTTCTTAATTTTTGAAAAAAATTGTTAAACAAACTTTATGTACCCCCTTCAAGGAGCTGGGGGATGGGAGGCTCCAATGAAGTTTCTTCATATGAAAGATCCTATCTCTTTTTCGATGAGGAATTACCCCCTCAAATGTTTTACACTTATTTAGTTACACCCTGTATACACACACTGGCACAATTAGGGGAACGGGTAAAATTTACACTAAGTTTGACATCAATTTTCTCTCGAACCTATCACTCGATTCAAATTTGTTTTTCACGAATTGTAGCTTCATACTTCACGAATACATCTGAGAAATAACCACATCCAAACGATTCGTTTTTATATCATATACAGGGGTGTAAAGAAAGTACGGATTTTTCGGTATTCTTTAAGACATCCTGTGGAGTGAACCACTGATAATTGAAACGATTTCTCAACACCAAATTGGAGCCCAATCTATTCCGAATATTTTCGTTTTTCATTCATCTTGATATCCCAATTATCCAAGAAAATATAGAGTTTCAAAGAAGAGGTGGATATTGGTATTAATTTTACCACCTCGAAATTCGAACTGGGGAGAACGTGTCGTTTTTCAACTTGTTTCTGTGAGGATTTTTACTCCAAGATGAGAAATTGTTCACAGTTTGACCTATCGGTTTACTGTTTAAAGACACATATACGAATACTCTCATGAATATGCAGGGGTGATAAAAGTTGCTCCAATGTTCTTTTGGTGAAATGCTATTTTTGTTAATCAACGTTGGCTATTTTGTTAATGTCATTAATTATTGTCAAAATCAAGCGATTCACAATTCATAAATTTGATTAATGAAAATTCAACGTGAGAGATTTGACTCCTACTGATGTGGCGAGGGCTGTAGCATTAATTGAAAATGACCAGTGGGCCAATGTTCTTTTAACATATGAGAGCCGCATATCTGCACCAATTCAATAGATGGCAGGGAAAGACTATATATCGCCGAGGTGAACAAAATGAACAATTTGATTTTACTGCTTCTGTCTCCTATGGCAGAGGTTTAGTCATGGTTAGGTTAGGTTAGTCAAGAAACGACACATTTTCAGATCCAATTTGAGTTTTGAGGTGTAAAATTGATACCAATATCCACCTTTCCTTTGAAACTCAGTAATTTCTTGAATAATCGAGATATCAAGATGAATAAAAAACGAAAATATTCGGAATAGATTGGGCTCCAATTTGATGTTGAGAAATCGTTTCAATTATCAGTGGTTCAGTCCACAGGATGTCTAAAAAAATACCGAAAAATCCGTACTTTCTTTACACCCCTGTATATGATGGAAAGACTCATCGTTTGAAGGTAATTATTTCTCAGATGTATTCGCGAAGAATGAAGCTACATTTCGTGGACAAAAAAATTTGAATCGAGCGATCGGTTCGAAAGAAAATTGATGTTAAACTACGTGTAAATTTTGCTCGTTCCCCTAATTGTGCCAGTGTGTGTAGATCTCACCTCAGTTTTTATATGCACCTACCGTTGTACGATTTAGCAAGTAAACAGCAGTCCATATAGAATGTTAACCGAAAACACAATAATATATTAGTAGATGGGAAAATTTGAGTTTATGTTCATAATAACAACTCCCAGCGAAACATTGGCGAGGAGAGACAGTGTTTTAATGTACCGTCTACAGTCGTAGACTGGATAACTATTTCAGAGTAAATAGTGTAACGGACAACCACAAGAAATGTGCCATATTATTGAACGCGCTTATAGTGAGGAGGCCTACAAGTTAATCTACAATCTGTCATTACCCAACAAACCTGAAGAAATGCAGTATGCAGAGACTTGGTGAAAATGTTTAATGACCATTTCAAAGCCAGTGAGTCTGTGTTCGCCTATCGGTACAAGTTCTACAATGCAACAAAGTCACCACAAGAAACTTCTGCAGAATGGGCCGCGAGAGTGAGAAGTCTCGCCTCATATTGTGAGTTTGATGCAAATGTACTCGATATGATCCTCAGGGACCGTTTCGTTATTGGTTTCGAAAAAGGAGCAGTGCAAGACAGGCTTTTCGAGGAAAAGAAAGACTGCACATTCAATAACGATACCATTCACATCACTTCATGCAAAATGGCTGCGAAGCAGAATACCTTGTTGGAGGGGCCAGTGATAAAGGTTGAACCGGGCGTTCATCACGTAACACAATGGAAGAAACGTCAAAATACGCATCCTGCCCAAGGTCGACCGTCAACAAGTGGAAGTGCAAGTGCAAATCGAAAATGTGCTGTTTGTGGAAGGGGCAACCACCCCACAATCAAATGTAGATACCGCGAGTTTACATGCGGGCGGTAATTCTAACCAATTATCGTTATAAAATTGAATAGGTATGTGAAGTCCGAAGAAAATACCGCAGATTTTCTGTCTCGATTATCGATCCATAATGAAGGTGAAAATGAATGGAAATCTGTGGATGTAGACTATTTCAATCATTTTTCTGAAAATGAAATTACAGCAGTTCATTTTGATAATATCAGACAACACATACGGTTTGATGAAATTTTACAAAGAGTAATTAAATACGTTAGATATGGTTGGCCAAAGAGCGCAAAGGAAGGCTGCTACTTTTTAGTAGAAGCGGCAACGCCGGATCGTTTCAAATATTTCAGACGTGTAGATTATGTTAATTTATACATATCATCGAAATTTCAGATTTATCCGTTGCCTGGTTTGCCGAAAACGTCAAATTAACGCTCATCGTGAAAAGCCCTGTATAGTTTTGATTAGTAGTAAAAATCGTCTGCACATTACTAAAAAGTACATCGTTGACTACACATCTTGATGCTCTTCTCAGATATTGCCAAAAAATTGAGTATCCCGTATCTCGGTTATAAGATGTCGAAGACCCATGGGTTTTTTGAAAACACCTCAGTGACCCCTACCCACAGTTGAATTGTTTACCTTTCCCAATGAAACACCCTGTATACACCAACTCGTCTTGATTTCCCTTATTGACCATTTCGCTATGTGAGTCTTCTCATGAATGACCCTGTATAAGAACCATGGGTCGTATTATATGGTAATATAAATAACGGCATAGTCGGGGTTAGATGCAATGGGCCAATAGGCTTAAGTGGTGGTGGAGTGGGTACACCTATATACAGGGTGTCTGTAAAAGGTTGGACATGGCTCGGCTGTGGACTCCTGGGATCAAAACAAGTTGATTCAGGCCAACTTACCTATATCCAAAATCTTCTCGTTGAAATGGTACAAGGCGTTGAAGATTTTTTGGAAAAAAATAATTTTGCTCATAAAAAAAGAGTAGGCTGGGATCGATTTTCATAATTTTTGGCATGGCGTGTTCTTTCAAACAACCATGTTGCCGTACAAATTTGTTTCATTCATTGTTTCATCAGGTAAAGAATTGAGACTAAATAAATCTATAACTTATTGTTTTATCCAAACCAGTTGAGAAAGAGATGTTTGTGTTTTAGCGTTGAAAAAAAAAACTGACGAGAGGATTAGTTTTTTATCAATTTTTAATAATATACATACAAATCAGTTTTTAAATAATTCTTGAAAATCATAAATATTTTTATTTTATTTCCTATCCAATATACTTATCCATATAAGGCACAAAATATTTTTTGTTCATGGAAATAACTGGAACTGGATGGAAACAAAATGGAGACGACAAAATCTTGGAATAAGTATTCACATCTAATTTCGATCTGATGTTTTATCAGTATTGATGAATTGTTCTCTCAAACTGCAAATCAGTCCTGGCGTGTTAGCTAAACATATGGTGGATTCCCCGTTCAAATATCCTGTTGTGAGTTCTGAACAACTGAAGTCTGAAAAAAAATCAAAATATAAAGTTCCACAAGAAAAATAAAAAACCTGATAATGGATCTTTCTAGTTATTCTGCATTTCACAAATTCTTCAACGTATGATGTTTAAGTTTGAGTCGTATTGGTGCTCAACAGCGTCAAATGCGTTCGATATTTCAATTGCTATATATAGAGATTCTCGATGTTTTTGTATTGAAGTTGTTGATCTCTGATGGTAGAAGCCAAATTGTCGATCATACACAATTCCTGAGATCTCCGGATGTGTTTAATTAATCAACATCTTGACAAATTTAACACTGCCTCTACACACCAAGCCACCTATCAAGCTGGCAACATTCAATTAGCAATCCCATCATCAGCCCTAGTAAGAGATTCGGATTCGGTAATTTATGAACCTCATCAAAAGTTCAGATTCCTCTTGGATAAACCCCATCATAGTTTACATAATGATGATAATGACAGTGAGATTATTTTCAGACTCCTACTTTATCAATAATATGCCGTATCGAAATTGAAAATCACCTAAAAAATGTTCAGATTGTTTCATCTTACAACATTCGTCATAGTGTACCGTGCAAATCAGGAAGGCAATTTTAGTAAAACAAAACACCCCTAAAGCAGATACAGTTTTTTGATAAAAGAATGTTAGTACATTGAGCCCAGCTCTGGAATATGCAATCTCGACTAGATTGAGCAGCAACTGGTAAATTTCGACATATACAGGCTATACGTTTTTGGGGGGGTAGAGGCTTATCCGTCCCCCCCCCCCCACCCCAAACATTTTAGCAGTCATTAAAGCGCTGAGCTCTATGGTTGTCAGGTCTAAAATGGTTTAAGAATGCTGGGAAAACTGAACGAGCTAGCCAACAGAGACATCCCGAAGTAGACGGAAATGAGCTAGCGGATAAACTCACTAGGAAATCAGATCAAACACCCTCCATGGGACAAAAACCTTTCTGCGGGATCAGTAGCAGTACTGTATCTGGAGAAATTAGAAACCAAGAAGCTACACAGAGATCAGGCATCTGGGAAAATGTTCAAGGTCTCAGACAGGCTGATATACTACTGGGTACATATAACCACAAAAGATTGAACGCAAATGTCAGCCTAAGCAAAAATAAACTTCGTATACTAACGGGAATCCTAACAGGGCACTGGCGGTTGAGAGGAATCTTAGGTAGCTTGGCTTAAAAGAGGATGACGAATGCAGGTTATGTGGGGAAGAGAAGGAAACCTCTATCTATATACTTACGGAATATTTCACCCTAAAGAACCCAAGGGCAAGGAACCTAAGACTAAAAGCACACATGATAGAGGAGGAAGAACCTTGGGGAAGAGAAGGAAACCTCCATCCATATACTTACTTAGGTAACTGTGTATCATGACTTACCTATTATTTTCCTTTGGAGCTTATCCACAGTAACAAAAATGGGAGACTGTTGTTTCACCGAGGCAAATTTCATCACACCCTTTACTGATTCGTTTGATCTCTCTTTGAGATCTACATTTAGGTCAGTATGTTTACTGTAAAAATTGAGCGCCTTTCGATAAGCATCTTTGTCATGCTTGTAATCTAATGAAGCTGAAGATTCCTCTAGAAAAAAAAAAACTGATGTAGGGTGGGCAGATGAACTTGCTGATTTAATTTGGGCGCCCTGAAGCGAGGGTTGCTCCGAGTGCGAATGGGCTCTTTCAAAAGGGTGGCTCATGAAGTTTTGGCAACCCGTAGTGCATCATGCAGTGGACGAGGTTTAAGTACGTGTTCGCCTCATGGCTTATTCCTCTAATCAATCTAATCATTTTACTTTATGTAATTATTTCAGATGATAAGACGGATTGTAATTTGCTGTCTGTCAGTGTATCCATTATTTCCTTTCAAGTCAAGAAAATCTTGTAACTTGGCTATGATGTACTGATGATGTGCAATAATACTGAAACGCATATATCTGAGGCTGCTTGATTTTTCAAGGTTTGTCCACTAATTGGTTTCCTGACATTATATGTTTTCCCCGCACCAACACTCTTATTATAAATATCAGAGTGTTTCCGAAATTGGGGCGATAAATAAAATGGGTATAAGACATAATCACACAATGACTAAATTTTTTTTTTCAAATATTTTGAAAAAATTTGCGCTCTCACCGTACCACACCTTTCAACTATTATTGAACGTCCGGCTACATTGCAGAAATCATTGATACTTTCGGTGCTTCTGACCTCACCGAAAGAGAACGCTTGGGTTCGCGATTAATCTCTGATCAATGATGTATAAAAATTTCGAGCAAACTTTAAAGCTCAATATCTTCCAAAAATATTTGCTTCGACACAAATATACTCTTCCATTTCGATCTGTTTTTTTGTTTTTTGTTACTCATTCCATTTATCGCCCCAATTTCGGAAATACTCAGTAAAAAGAGTTCATCTCCTCCCATGTATGTTTAATGCCCTTCGCTACGCGTCGTGCATCAAACTTCACACGCGGGAGGAAATGAATACCTTTCCTCCCTTGATATATAAATAGCTATTAATCCTGAAAGGAAAATAAGGACATGAACAATAAAAACAAGAGGTTAATTATTGGTCTTACCTTTTCACAACAATGAATTGGAGATGTAGTTTTGATAAAAACTGTTTTTCGCAAAGTAATAAATTCTGAGTGAAATAATCAAATGCAAGAACAATAAAATAAAATCAAGAACCATATAAACTATCAACAAACCCAGGAGAAAACACAATAAAGCGCTACTGGGTACTAATGAGCTACAGCTGTGCAGTATAAATTTCGAAAACACATAATTGAAGAGACAGATTCGCAATTCAACTTTCGTGTTTTCAATTTTTGTAAACAAGGCAAGCTGTTGGCTGCTATGACAGTTGACAAGTTAACGGGCCAATCAAACTGCCAAGGACGTGAACCACAGAATGTAAACACTGGAAACTACAGCCATGAATGATCCAAGGTGCAAATATGACATATATGATGATGTTACCTGAGTAAACATAATAATATAAATGTATTGTTGGTTGCATACGAATATGGTCACGTGGTGTTTAATAATTGTTAAAGACCCGTCACTTGTAGTTCATAGTGTGACGGAATGTCCCTCTTATTTTCCTAGAGCGTCTAAGAATACCTATAGGCAACCCAACACACACTGCACTAACAGGTGGGTTGTGCAGAATACCTGTGAGTACCTACCACTGACATAGCTACTATCTAGAACCGTAAATGTCCTATCTCAGGAACTCGAAAATCTCGGGTAGTTTGCTCGCCTGAGAACGTTTCTGCTCAATGTGCAGGGACCCTCAAACTGTCGTTCATGATAGCGTGATAGTCATGTTTCTTGGTGTTCAGAAACATGAGTGAGAGCACGTGAGAGTGAGGTCCTAAATGCGCATGATTCTTGTTCTCTAGTTCGACCTCGTGAGTGGCTTACCTATGTTCTTAAGGCATTAGTAGCATAAGTTTGTGTGGGATATTTCTTTATAATAACCCGAGCTAGTTTCAGCTCCAGAGCTAAAATTAAATGTTTCGCCTGTATAATATTACTATCTTTTTCTGTGACAGACGAATCAATATTGAGAAGATATTACATTAAAATCATGAAATTATCGATGTGAAATTTGTAGTTTCTAACTGGTAGGCTGCTACAATTACACCTACGTTGCAGGCATCTTTGCATCTCTGTTGCTATGGAAAAATATTTGTCAATTTAATTCTGTGATTGAAAAATTGCGAACTTTGTGGTTGTTCAGTAATTTACGTAACCTCGAAGTAGAATGGAAGATGAAAAGGCTTCTTTTTAGGAGACGGTGTTATTGGCGTATTTTTCGGAACTGGCACAACAAAAGCCATAAACAGTGCACCTATATATCCGGAAAAGAAGTACTAACTTTTTTCCCGCGGGAAGGGCATTTCTAGATTCCTAGATTTTCACATTTTACCATAGACAAGATTTTGATGAAAATGGTGCGGGGTCAAGAAATATTAAAATATAATAATATGTAAGATTTGAGGAAATATCCATTGAAACATTCATTGTTATGTACCTCTAATAATATCTACCTAGTATATTAATTATTGCTATTAGTGTTTGCTGTCTGTGTCTTGTACTGGCAGTGTAACTTGTTGCTGAGTTTTCTGTAATAGATGCTAATGGAGACAATATGTTTATTCTTTCATATACAGGGTGTAAATTTGAAAACTTTCAATGCGAATATCTCGCGAAATAAAAAAGTTAGGAAAACGCCGCTTGGCAAAAATGCTAAAGAGTTAAGGGGAACTAGAACCACCAAATTTCAGTGAAGGGATGAGTCACCCTGTCAGCGCAACATACCCCAACTTTGAAATGTCAAATGGCACTACCTCTTTTGTGATACCTCAAATGAACAGTCTCAGTCAGTAGTATTCACCTGTACATGACTTTTTTTCCACCCACTACAGGGTGTACGAAAAACATTAATTCGAGGGTCTGAATTTGAAAACTTTCAATGCGAATATCTCGCTAAATAAAACAGTTAGGAAAACGCCGTTTGGCACAAATGCTACAGAGTTAGGGGAACTAGAACCACCATACTTCAGTAAAGGGATGAGTCACCCCGTCGGCGCGACACACTCCATCTTTGAAATGTCAAATGGCACTACCTCTTTTGTGATACCTCAAATGAACGGTCTCAGTCAGTAGTGTTCACCTGTACAAGACTTATTTTCCACCCACTACAGGGTGAACGGAAAACATATCGCATAAAATAAAATGCAGAATGCCGATATATTCCAAGAGATGTGTTCCAAAATGTTAGAATGGCATTTGAACATCGATTATACTATTGCTTACAACAGAATGGAATGCATTTTGAACATCTAATCAAATAAAATATCCTTTTAACACAACTCATTTTATTTTATTCGACTTTATATTTTTCGTACACCCTGTAGTGGGTGGAAAAAAAGTCTTGCACAGGTGAATACTACTGACTGAGACTGTTCATTTGAGGCATCACAAAAAAGGTAGTGCCATTTGACATTTCAAAGTTGGGTTGTGTCGCGCCGACGGGGTGACTCATCCCTTGACCGAAATATGGTGGTTCTAGTTCCCCTTAACTCTTTAGCATTTTTGCCAAACGGCGTTTTTCTAACTTTTTTCTTTCGCGAGATATTCGCATTGGAAGTTTTTAAATTTACACCCTGTATAATATAATATCTATCAAATAGTTTATGGACTGGATATAATAGGAAATAACGGGGAGTTCAGTCAATAGGGCAACAAGCAAAATACTTTATTGCTATGCCAAGCTTTCGAAAATTTGTATTTTCTTCTTCAAGGCTGAAACAATATATAGTATTCGAAACATTTTGTTACAATTCAATTAAACAAAAAATAAGAACTTGCAATGTGAGTTAAAAGGTATAAATTGGAATAATAATGAGTATAGAAAATATAGATGATGTAGACATAAAATTGATAGGACAGTGACATGTCATATAATTTATATAGAAAATGAAATTATAAAATCAGATAGTTGTTGAATTTAACAAAAATACTGTTTTTAGAGATGGTTGAAATTAATAATGAGAAATATACTATGAATAAGAAAACAGATATTGATAATCTCAGTCAGATATATTCTTATTCATCATCTTTTGTTCATGATGATATTCAAAATGACTCTACCTTATAAGATATTCAACAACAATCTAATTTTATAATTTCATTTGTTCTGGTATATAAATTATATGACTTTTGTCACTGTCCTATCAATTTTATGTCTACATCATCTATATTTTTCATACTCATTATTATTCCAAGGAAATGTCAATTCCAAGGCAGGTAGAGGTACATTGAGCATTTGATGAACATTCCTTTTTCCATCTATTGGTATTATTTCAGATTATGTTATATAGGTGAATCGATATGAATTTCACGAGTTTGGATAGTGTGTATTTGATCCAAACAGATTTCTGGATTTCATTGGAAGGGTGAAAGAGGATGTGAATTGATATGAATTTGATAAATATCCAAGTCTTGATACCTGTACAGAGAAACTGATTTTAGAAGAGGATATTGATTTCCAATGGAAGCTGATAGGTTGGAAAATGGTAAATTCACAATTATACATATATATAGATATCATCTTGATAATGGGCGTGTACACCTTACTAGAACTTTTAACTCAAACCATGTTTATAATGATCCTTTTATACATAAATAATGATTGACGACATAATTCGATCGAAAAATTAACTGGAATGTTTTATATTTGGACATAAATAATAGTACCTTCTGAAAACTGACCCTCTTATGACGTAAAAACCTCATCTCGCCATAGTTGAAAGAAAATACCAAACGCCCGACGGAGACTGAGGCAACTGATATATTTAATCTTTCAACTGTGATCTCGCACTAATTCAATCTGTCAGAAATCATGTATCATTCATCTCTGTCTGGAATAGAATAGAATAAGAGACGGTTTGCGATGGTGAGCTAGTTTGGGTGAGTTCTATCAAATGATGAAATAATTTTTTTTTTGTGATATAAGCCCATTGTTCATGAATAACATTTTTAATTAACAACCACACACAATCACAGATTCAATCAAATGCGCTTATTTCTCTTCCTCCCAGCAAATAATTTCATTGCAGCTATAAAACATATTCCACAAATTATTTATTATTATTATAAATGATATTATGATGAGAGACATCGGCAACTTTGTTAAAACAAATAATGTTCACCTCCATGTAAGTCAATCTTTGGTTATAACATTTTGTATATTTTCACATGCCTTTACTTGTAGTAATTTCTAAAATACGGCTGAAGATGGACTTTTATAAGTTCGAAACATGTCCCGTTGAATAACTACATCAATATTAAAGTTGTGGAGATGACTTTGAGCTTTCCTTCCTCCTTTTAAAAAACTTTTGTTCCTTTTTATGAAGTGATTCTTTTGTAGTAATTTTTGAGGTAATTTTCCAAGAGCATCATTGATAAACTATTCCAACTCTCCCATTTTGCGAAACTGTGGATATATTTTTGTCAAATTTGACATTTTATATTTTGACAAACATGTAAGTAACATGAAACAAATGAGCGTAATTATTATTGTTGAAAAATGAAGTAACTACTAGATCTAAATTGGAATTCCCAGTTCTAAGTCCGAAATCCGATACCTAAGTCGGAATTCCGAGAACTAAGTCAATTCCGACCTCTAAGTCGGAATTCCGAGAAACCAATTCATTTTACCTTCTTGTAAATCTTCGATAACCTTCCTAAGAGACAGAATTTTCGAATTCAACATCTCATTACTATCTTTTATTTGTTTTAAATCACTCTTCATAGTATTGAAATCTGATGAGATTTTTTCATAATTTTGTCGGGAATTCCTAAATCCAGTTTCTAGAACTTCCAGTTGGTTTCTTGATTTTCCTTGGACCTCACTACCTGAAATCAGAGCAAGTTTTATTTTATTAATTTTGGGACAAGCTGAGATATTACTGGGAGAATACATAACCACATAAAATCAGAAGCAGATGGTGTAAGTAGCCTGAATACAAAATACTTCGTGTACTAAGGGAAGTCTTAACAGGGAATGAGACATTCCATTTAGTTACATCCTATATCTAAGTACATTACAATTACAGGAAAGTTGGACATCAAGATGAAAAATATACATTTAAAAAAAAACTTAGGATCTCCTGGTAGTTTATTATAGAAATCCACTCCACTCATCTGACGAGAAATGAGTTTTGACCATAATTGGAGTGACATGGAAGTAAGTTCAAATCATTTTCATTTCTAGTGTTACGATCATGAAACTGACTTCTTTTTGTGAATCTAGCATTCGTGTGTTTAAAATTGTTGACACTATTGTGAATATTGAAAACAATCTTAATGAACTGAAAAAAAAAATATTTTTTACAGCAAAAGGGTACGTCGAATCAAAATAAGTCCAGGAGCCGAATTTGCTACAAAATAAATGAAGACTTCAAAAATGATTTCGATCTTCAGAAAAATCAGTGACGTACCATTTTTTCTTTAAATTGTCAGTTCAAACCCCGTACGGACGTCACTGGTGAAAATTTAAAAAAAAAACTTTCAAGTCAAAAAATGGTCCTTAATAATGAAAAGGTGTGTACAAAATTTCATATCTATGTGATAAAAAATTATCAAAAAAACTAATTTTTTCTAAAAATTTCAACACCTTGTAGCTCAAAAACTAAGAAGTTGAGTTCATATTTTGATATAAACTTTTTCTCCTTGAAATCACCCGAGGATTCACACCTTGTATTATCGGCACTCAATTAATCAACACCCTGTACATATAGAAACGAGGACAAAATCCCAAAAAATTTGCGATAATGAACGGAATGAACGACGAACATATAAGATAAAATTTGAAACCTAAATTCTGTGGAATAAAAACGTGTCAAGATGGCCCTAGGTGCCTTAGCTACTTGTACGTTTTTTCAATGTTTCACCTGACAATGTTAAACAATTTAGGGGAACAAAATTTTACTGCAGAAAGCATTTTATTCATTTGATGAGTTCTTGAACTGTAATTTTGTGTCCTCAGTTTGTCTTGCATTGTAACTAGTGTAACTGTTGAATGCTTATAGTTTTTTCAAGACATTTTAGATGAATATATTTTTTCAGAAGGAGAAGTCACTCTCCCTCTATGTATGACATTTGACTTGTGTAAATACATTTTCTGTTTAATAAAACCATATGCTGCTACTGGGCATGCAGAAGAGCCTTCGGGAAAACGTGGGGCCTATCACCTAAGACCCTTCACTGGATATACACGGCAATTATTCGCCCAACACTAACGTACGGGTCCATCGTATGGTGGATCAGTACTAACAAGTGCAAAACCAGACATGAACTGGATAGAGTTCAGCGACTGGCTTGCTTAGGAATGACAGGTGCTATGAGGACAGCGCCTACTAGGGCCCTTGAGGTCCTATTAGGTCTGCCCCTCTACATCTGATTGTAGAGCATGAAGCCATGCGCACTGCCTACAGACTCAAAGGTGCAAACCAATGGATCGAAAAGGCAGACTATGGACACTCCCTAATATGGAACAAGGCCGAAGAAAGCTGTCCCAGTCTGCTGATGGTAAGGGACAGCACTCTGCCAGTTCTGAATTTCAATAAAGCTCCTCATGTCATTTTTCCTACAAGAGACGAATGGACTGGCAATACACCAGGCTTGCTTCCTGCCAAGGAATCAACCTGGTTCACGGATGGCTCAAGGTTTGGTGGCGGGTCTGGTGCAGGAGTATATGAAGGAGGAACAGGGAAAGGAATCTCAGTACCTCTTGGCAAATACGCTTCAGTGTTCCAGGCCGAAGTGTTTGCAATTCTGACGTGTGTCCAAGAAAATTTCGGCAGAAGTGGACGTGGACCAGTCACCATATGCTCGGACAGTAAAGCTCGAGGTAAAGCTGCTATTATGGCATTGAGATCCAATAGGATCACAACTAAATTGGTGTCCGAGTGTAGAAGTGCCTTAGAAAATATGGCAAAAACCAGGAAAGTCAGCCTCATGTGGGTTCCAGGACACTCTGGTATCCCGGGGAACGAGGAGGCAGACAGACTAGCCAAGATCGGTTCAGGAACGACACCTATTGGACCAGAACCGATATTGGGAATACCCAATAGTACGGCTATGTCCTTCATGAAGGAAATGCTACAGAGGCAGTTCCTTGAAACATGGTGGGACACACCAGGAATAAGACAATCAAAGCTCCATATAAAGGAACCTTCAAAAAGGCTCACGAGAGAGATCCTGTCACTTAATAGAAGGGATCTCAAGATGGTAGTTGGGCTCTTAACTGGGCACAACTACCTCAACAGGCACCTAGAACTCATAGGGATCAAAGATGATCCCATCTGCAGATGGTGCTTGGAGGATGATGAAACATCATCACACATACTCACTGAATGCCCCGCGCTGGTGCATCAGAGGAAAGCTGCCTTTGGGAGCATTGTACTGCACCCAAAGGATGTGAAAGTGACTCAGCTGAGGAAGCTGCTGAATTTCGTCAAAGAAATCGGCATGCCCAGCTGATTCACAGGACAAGTGGGCGCACAATGGGCCCGACTGAAGAGGCCTGAGTGCAGGGGTCTACGCACCCGCCCACCTGTGCAGAGAAGAAGAAGAAGAAGAAGAAGAAGAACACCAATAAACGATTGATTGAATGATTGATTGAGATAATTAGTAAATGATTTATTCATTTTCTTACTTTTATCCATGCATATTTCTTCCGATAGTGATCTACAGTTATTGAGATGTTCAAGAGCAGATTCTTTTCTAAGGCTGAGCTCCTTTTCAAAGGAAAATGTATTCCAGTCGCATTCGATTCGGCTCTCATAGCCCTCTTGATTTTGACTCATGGATGACATGTTGACTGATGCTGTACCACCTGGAAGTCATATCGAATAACCATAATGTATTAAACACACTCATGATATTACTAACAATTATCATATATTTTATATTTCAAAGATTATATTGTAATGATATTCGCCTTAGAGGGGCTCTAAAAACATCATTAGGAAGGCAGGAGTACAACGATCATCCTGTAACACGGCATCACAGATTGTTCTCCAACATCCCAATGTACCCGGTGAACAACTAAGAACGGCTGTCATATCTATCATTCTTCCAACTTTGATAGTTGATATCTTCCGTTGGCGAAAAGCTATCATGATGCGGATTTCGTTGGTCTGTTGAGATTTAGTTTCTCTATTACATCGTGTAATGGATACGCATACCATTAGAGTTATTCTATCTCAAATTTGTATCATTATTCGTTGCTGAGATATGGCCGACAGCCGTTCTTAGTTGTTCACCCTGTACAATGTACATGTACCAGCCTATTTCCGAACACTCAATATATGTGGCGGTGACAAATAACGTGAAAGTTGCGTGAAAGAAGATTCTGGAATGTTCTGGAAACAATCCATGGAACAGTTAGAGAGAGAGAGAGGTATTATTGTTCTAAGAAGCTTCTAGAACAAAAAGAAGGGTACGGAAGATCGTTCGAGAAGCAAAGCCTACCAAGGGATCTCATAAGGACGGCCGGACAACTGCCGTCAGTCAGTCAAGCAGAGGGTGTCAGAGAGACTGTCATATACCGCGTGTTATAAATCGTTTTACATAAATAGTAGTTATAAGTTCGATATAAATTAGTGTTCCTTTAGTTAAAATAAATCAGTTCGAAAATAAATAGTGTCGTATTCGCTTCTGCACCCGAATAACGTAACAATATTATATTTTATTTTTTCCACCACTAGCTAAAGAACCTACCATTATTTACTTCATTTGAAGGCGTAAAGTATGTTTTTACTACCAAGGTAGTTTTCGTCATTTTATGAACCACTAGACATAGCCACCTCTGTTATAATTAACATGAATTCACTAGTCTGATGCGATATTCACAGGAATGGCACTCGAGCCTAGTAGGTATTTATCAATAACTACTTATCATAATATGCTGTCATGGTGACTCTTGAAGTTGACGTTTCTCTTACTGACACAATAAAATGATTAGTATGTATATTGCTAGGCAACACTTTTAGTGTCTAGGAGCTAAAGTTGAAGTTTAACTCCTAGAAACTAAAAACATGTCGGATGGCACCTGATATATGATAGCTGCGTTGACACTGACATGCTCAAGTGCCTCAAAATAGTGGTATTTTCACTCATATTCCACTAATAAGATATCAATTATTTCAATTGCAGAAAAAATAGCATGTTTCATTCGGATCAAGTGACTCTGTTTGATTCGCAAAATGTGCGTGCTCGGCTTCGCGGTTGCTCCGCCTCGCAACCGCAAATATCGCTTGTCGAACAAAGTGTCACATTTGATCCTAATGAAGCAATGTACCATAGATCTAAATATGAATGTACTATAGTACTTGTCCATTACTTCTTTATAATACCATGGCAACGGTTGCTATTAACAGACCCATAACGCCCGGGGCATTATGAATCAGAACGTCAAAATTTCAACGGATGTCATGCCTACCATGAGAAAAAAAATGCTAGGAGCAGTGAACCGCTTTTCAAAACCGATGTTTCATTATAATGAGATAATTTTTTCTTCCAAATAATACATAAAAATAAGTTGAACAAAGAATATTTTGAGATTTGAGATAATATGTAAGATTGTTTATATTTTACTCAATAGCTATCTCAGTTGATATTGGTCTTACAGAAACGTTTAAATGAGCAAATATGGAGTATTTTTATGGGCATTCAGAATTCAGAACTAGAAATGCAAAAAAGCATCTTAAACCCAAAAAATTTACAGTCTCGTATTTTTTTAATGGAACACCCTGTATTTTTTTCCTAATCGGTCGAGCTCTTTTTTCTGATCTCAAATACAGGTACTTTATTGAGGTTATCTTTGACAAGTTCTCGAAAATTTTTGATTTTTTCGTATAATTCTAAGGAACCTGTAGAACGCCCGAAGAGTATTTGTAGAACCAATATCAAATGAGATAATCACCCTGTACAGTGTATCCCATTTTGGTTGAGACTAGGGGACGCCGTGGTCGAGTTCGTATATGCGCTGAAAATCGTTAGATAGCAGTTCACGATGCGATTCGGATCGAATCCAGCTTGTCTGAGCATTCTTCTTAAAAATGTGTGGTTGTAATCCTGGCAGCAGCTCGAAGCCCTAGAAGTGGTTCGAATTCCACTTTAAGCTGTAGATCCCGCTCTTCCTAGCCCCGCACAAATTTCGACTTCTGGGGAGATGGTTCCCAACTTCGAAGTAGGAATATACAAAATTTACTACCCGGTTTCTCGGTTGATATTGAAGATTGAGTCTTGCGGTTTTCAGCACAATTGTCATACGTTGAAATACGAATGGGAACTTTAGAAATATTATTCATTTAATAATTCATGAATTCTCAAATATGTATTAGTAATATTTTGAATTAGCTATAAAAAATGCATTGTCTTGTAATTTCCCCTCTTATATGTTGTCTTATTGCATATGATGAATTTGTGTTAATAATAATAATAATTCACACTAGAGGAGATTTGGTACGGTATAATAACGTGACAACACAGGATTGTGTGCGTTGTCTTGTCAGTTCTCAGCGTTCAGCACGGCATTACCAAGGCTCTAGTATAGCCAACATCAATTTACATGATGTTTTGTTATGGAGTATAAAAAATATTTTAACAAGCTAGTTGCTCGAAACATTCACATATAACTATACCATGGCTTCCTCCTGTTAGGTCAAATGAAATATTCAATTTGGATATAGTTTTATTCAACGACAGGGCTCTCACAACTTTTTAATAACTTGATTATAACTGGTGATTTGTCAACCTCGCTTCGTGAGTGGGAATTGTAAATTATCTGACCAATAATGAAACAGCATAATAAGTACCGACGTGACCATAAATCTGACGTATCGAAGAACATGGCCAAATGGCGGCCATGACGGCACGATATTTGAAATTATCTCTGGAATTCAACAACTTTGAACAACGTATAGACACATTATTTAGATCTAGAAGGCGTAATTGATTAATTCAGGTCCATAACGGTACAGTGAAGTAATTGAATGACAATAATTATCCACTACCACAGTCGACTCGTCCGTTGTTTCTATCTCAGAATTTGATGTATTTTCCCTCATGAACCAGTTCGTGATTTCCTTCATAGCCTTCCTTTTAAAACGATTTTGAAGCAATATCCTTTACACTCATTTGTCATAGATCGTTGTTCACGTGGATTCATAATATCTTTATATCTTTCACTAATTTCCTTTCTTCTTCTGATACTTCAGACATTCTTTTTCCTTCATTTGTTCCCTCTTCTGAAGGTGAATTCACGGACGACCTTACTCAGCCCCAACTTGAGAATTAGAGGAGGTTATCACTGAGTTCAGAATTGATATATGAAATAAACCAATAATCATCCCTCATTCCTAATAAGAAAGCTATAAAATATTGCTGGCCCCTGTCCGGCTCTGGACGCCCGGATTAAATATTTTGATAGTGTGCATTTCTTTGTTTTGTCCTTCTGAATGACATACTAAAATATGTAAGTAGCAGGATCCCTAAAAAGAAAGTTATAAAATATTGCTGGCTCCTGTTCGGCCCTGGACGCCCGGATTAAATATTCTGATACTGTGCATTTCTTTGTTTTGTCTTTCTGAATGACATACTGAAATATGTAAGTGGAAGAATTCCTAATGAGGAAGTTATAAAATATGGCTGGCTCCCGTCCGGCCCTGGACGCCCGGATTTAATAATTTGATACTGTACATTTATTTGTTTTGTCCTTCTGAATGACATACAGAAATATGTCAGCAGCAGGATCCCTAATAAGACAGTATTAATAAAATATTGCTGGCCGCTGTCCGGCCCTGGACGCCCGGATTAAATATTTTGTTAGTGTGCATTTCTTTGTTTTGTCCTTCTGAATGACATACTAAAATATGTAAGTAGCAGGATCCCTAATAAGAAAGTTATAAAATATTGCTGGCTCCTGTCTGGCCCTGGACGCCCGGATTAAATATTCTGATACTGTGCATTTATTTGCTTTGTCCTTCTGAATGACATACTGAAATATGTAAGTGGCAGGATCCCTAATGAGAAAGTTGTAAAATATTGCTGGCCCCTGTCCGGCCCTGGACGTCCGGATTAAATATTTTGTTAGTGTGCATTTCTTTGTTTTATCCTTCTGAATGACATACTAAAATATGTAAGTAGCAGGATCCCTAATAAGAAAGTTATAAAATATTGCTGGCTCCTGTCCGGCCCTGGACGACCGGATAAAATATTTTGATACTGTACATTTCTTTGTTTTGTCTTTCTGAATGACTTACTGAAATATGTAAGTGGCATCATCCCTAATGAGAAAGTTGTAAAATATTGCTGGTCCCTGTCCGGCCCTGGACATCCGGAAAAATTGTATAGAGGAATCATTACCTCCAGTGTTTCAGGGGGACTGGTCCCCCATACCGTTGATTGATATATTCAATCAACGCCCATACTAATTCAATAACCGTTTATTTTTGAATAAACAAAAAACCAAGAATATCTGTTTTAGATTTGATTTGATTAAAACCAAAGTAAACAAAACCAAGATTACAAATGAAATAGTGCACGGCTCATGCGCAGAGCAAATTAGTCATAAGTTTTAAGTAAGTATTGAAGTCATAAGAGATTAATGTTGGCCAACTTCTCTTATGACTTAAAACTCATTACTTACTGTTTATGACAGATGTATGAACATTTTATATTGAAAAGCAATGACTGAACTTCTTAAGACTCATGACTTAATACTTGACCTAACCTAACCTGGCCTTCTTATGACTTAAAACTCAAGATTTCGGATTTAGCCCACTATGGATTTAGCAAATGCACAAGCCCAATGTGTAACTTCAATGTGTCAATGCAAAAATTCAAAGTTAAAAATTGTGAACTTCAATGTTATGCATTATGGAATGATATGCACTGTGTAGGTAATAAAAGGACTTATAATGAATTGGATATGAACAACAGTGTTTATCTTTTTTGAATTATACATTAAAATCACAGTTATGAAATAAATTGTTTGTGTGCCCGGTCCTTCAAAACTGCTGCATAAATCCACCATGAGTAATATGAAGGTAAATACTGTCTGTAGGTTAATCAAGGAGGTGGTATATTCATTATTCCAAATTTTTTGGGATTTTCTCTCCTCGTTTCTATGAAATAAAAATATGAATATTATTTCAATATACGTGAATTTTTCTTTTAGGCTCTCTGATAGGAAAATTCTTTAAACGCAGTGATATTTTGGGGCAAATCATCTGATTTGTCCTTACTACACGTATATTGAAATAATATTCATATTTTTATTTTATAGAAACGAGGAGAGAAAATCCCAAAAAATTTGGAATAATGAATATGAAGGTACTTCAATGATATGAGCAGAAAAAAATGCACTTGGCATCTTCTCAAGAAAATAGTTTTATAATAAAAATTAACGATTTGTACTCAAGCCCTATATTTCAAAATCTGTTCATCAATGAACTCTACGATTTTGCACGTTCAATCAGTTCATCGGATTTTACAACATACTAAAAATTCTGAAAATTTCACCGAGAAGTCCGAGAACCATTTTACCAACAGGTCCTATCATTTCATAAAATTCAATATGCATTATGTCCAATATTGTCCATTATGAAAAGAACACATCAGGACCATAGATACTCACTCATCACCACTTCCTCACTTGATATTCAAAATGTTCAGAAAAACCAGTTAAGTAGAAGCAAAGCAAGAACACAAGAATGAAGAAACATAAAAATCAGCTGTTGTCGTTGAGTCGTTAATTTTTAAATTCCATATTCCATCAAATTCGAATTCCAAACTTCTTGATTTGATCTTGATATTGACAAATTGAAATTGACATTGACAATTGACAGTTGGCACCATTGACACTGTACCACCTACTTGCACGAATTCAATCTGACCTGAAATGGGGCACCAATGCCAGAGACTTGACGACTAGAGACAGGATGCAAAGAAACGGAGCGCAACAAATAATCCGTGCAGAGAAAAGTTTACAGTTTACAGAAAAGCTAGAAAATATATTGATCGGAGCTCATAAACATGTCTAGTTATAATCACATAAATTATAGTGAATCAGGATGTATACGAGGCACATTGAAAAAAACATTTTCCAGAACAAATGTTTAGCACTATTCCAAAATCAACAAGTTATATTATGGTCAATTATGGTGAAACATTAAAACTAGACATTAATTCCGATTAATACATTTTTGTGCTTACTTTGTCTCATTAATACTGATAAACAGTATTTTTCTCTGTCAACCCTATAGTCACTGCCTCACTGAATGGTATTAGTTGGACCTTGAATGATCAAGTGACTTTAGTCAATCCTAGAATCACTGGATGGTATTCTGATACGACGTTTCTATTAATTTTGTCGACTTATATCTCAGAAACAAAGCATACAACACTGTTTAAACTCACAAATTTGCCTGATGAACCATCCAACAACAACATATTAAAATTTCAGTCAATTCGACAGCCAATTTCCCATGTTCCCAAAAATACGGGACAACATTCCTAACTCCTGGCTCAGATTGAAAGTTCGACATGTTTTCCCGTAGTTTTCATGTCCTCGCAACGTCAGATGATGACTTTGGCTCCCGCAGAGATAAGTTACCCACTGGGTAACTTATCACTGGGCCCACCACTGACATAAACTTGAGACGCCAATGAACAAAATGGATACTATAGGTTAGGTTGCTTTCGATACCACGTCAAAGTCATGAACGATAGCTTGCTGGTTCTTGCGTGTTGAGCAGAAACGTTTTCAGGCGAGCAGCTGACTCTACATTTTCGTGTTGATGTGATATGACTACTAGCAGTCTAGATAGAGTAATAAGTCGGTGGTTCTAAAATAAAGCGGCTAGTGACACGGATCCACTTTGGATAGACTGAAAAATGTATCGTAGAGGCATTAACTGTTGAGGCCGATAGCGATTCGCTATTCCAATAATAGTGTGATTATTGAGGTTCGACGTTCGGAAATTTTCTATGTTCGGAAGTCTCAAAGCAAAGTGGAATATGTGTCGCTAGCCGTCGTGTTCTAAAGAAATTCGTTGTCAGATGACGTCACGGGTCGCCAGTGTTGCCACGAATCACAGAACTGAAATGGAATTATGATTAAATGTTTATAATAAGTATCCGAAAATAACGTTAGCCGTTATCGGAAAGCGTACAACAATCAACAAAATTAGGAGATTACATCACATTGTGGAATTTATGTCAGTATTTTTCGTGAGGAAAACGAAAGTGGAATTGCAGGAGTTTTCAGAATATTATTTTCCTAGCAACGTTCTTTAGCACTTTTTGAATTTCGCGGTAGCAAACCTGTCGCTGAAATCAATCACGTGACCCACGCTCGCCGCCATTTTTGTATAAACAACAACCGGGAAGTTTTTCAAGTACTTCGTTAACGTTTTATACCTGCAATTTTGTAAATTTTGTCAAGAAAAATGTCCGAAGTCGAAGCAATCAACACAAATAACTCTGTTAGTGAGGAAAATATTCAGGTTAGTGCAGTAGGACTTTCTGGTAATTGAATATTTCGTCAAACAAATGTGCTATGTGCACGTAATAGAGACATGATGTTAGAATGTGTTTTTTTGAACTTTGTAATCCTCTAGATTATCACAGTCTAATGTTGATGTTCAATATTCGGTTTTGGTGAATCTTTTCCATTATTACGATGTTGTTGGAGAAATAGTGTTTTGTCCATTTATTTGGCACAAAGAAAATTGCCAAATTTCATATCACAAATAAAATCCTGTAAATTAATCTAGTATGAAATGAAATTGTGATGGTTGATGATGCACATACGTTTGGAATGTTTTCTCTCTTTTACAAATGGTTTTAGTCCTGTGTGACGTCGTAGATTACATCAATCAAAGACAAGATTATTGGAGGGAACTTTTTGAAAACTGAATTTATATTGATGTTTTAGAATGACAAGCCACCTAAAGGAAAAAAGTCCAAGTCACCAAGACTGTCTACAATTGAAAGAGCAAGGGAAGAGAGTGAAGCATTAACGAAGGTAGGTATGTCTATATATGTTGAAATTCTAAATGTTCTATCAATGTTTTTCTTATTTATTAGGATTTGGTTCCTGAAGTTGAAGGCAGGCGTCGTACCCGATCAGCAGCTAAAGGAGTTCCAGCTACCCCTCCACCACCACCCAAAAAAGAAAAGAAGAGTAATGCTGGAAAATGTGAGTCATTTGTTTAATACCTTGGATTTGAGAATTGAAAGAGCTCACTAAAATTGCTATATGCAGTTCTCATGGTTATTTTATGGTAGGGAAATTTCATAAATTTAAAACTACTAGCCTAATCAACTTCAATTACATAAGGAAGTTTATAGGCTGCCTACCAGTCAGCAAACTATACTTTTTCACTAGACTGCTGACCATTCAGTGGAATATGTTCTTTCTGTATTAAATTGGTCAGCAACCCAAAAAAAGTATAGTATGCCACCTGGTTGGCAGTCTATACTAATTCTCTAGACTGTGAACCATTCAGTGTAATATATTTCTTCTGTATAAGGAAAACATCCAAGAATAGTATAGCTTAGTGGTTAAGACATTGGCTTGACAATCCTGTGGTCCTTCATCAAATTTTTGTTTCAGTAATCTGTTAGTCTGTTTGGGCTGAGTATACATCACCTTCTTTTTTTTCTAATCTAGTTTTTCTTCCCTCAATTGTTGGTTCACAAGATTTTTTTGATCAGGTTTTTGTTCCACCAATAGGTTAGTGTGTTTGTGTAAGTACATTTCATTTTTTTAGAAGTATTTTTTTCAAATCATGTTTATTCTTCCTTAAAATTGATAAATTCTTGAATATACTCAAATTCAGTTATGGTTTGCAGTCTACTGGTAGGCATCCTAAACAAAGAGTATAAAGTAAAAAAAAAATAGATTGCTGACTGGTTGGCAGTCTATAAACTTCCATTTCAAAAATATGTACCCAAAGTTAGCCCTACTGGTAATTTCTGGGACTCCTACTAAATACTCATTGAGAATGGCAATTTAATGGCTTGAACAATTATTCAGCTGTTTCTACAAATATTTTTGTTTTTTGGGAACATATTTTCTTTTATATTTGGCTATCTAAGTACAGTTACCAATGCATCATTGTGAAACCAAAGACAATGGAGGAACCTTGCCTAATGGGGATGTTAAGAGATGCCTCCAGGGTTATTTTCAGGGTGCTTCATTTGCATCTACATACATACTATACCATTAACTAATGAATTATAAATTAAAAATAATCATACAAGTTCTTTATGTGGATTCAGTTAATATAAAATTCAAATCATGCTGGTTTATTCAAATGAGTAACTTGGAAAAAAAGTCATAATATTTTCTATGTTTTTTTTCTCCCAATAGGGAGGTGCAAGTGCACCCCCTTCTACCCTGTTGGCAGCATCTAGGGGGGGGGTTCAGTCACCAAAATCCATGGACAAGAGTAAACTCTTTCAATGTGAATATTTTCTAAAAATACATTGTTCCATATCATGAACTACAAACTGTATCCATGATTCTACCAGTGGCATGGTCAAGGGGGCTTTCTCAAAACTTAAATGAGTTGAAATAAAAGAGAGAGCAGTGGATCTTCTGAAAAAAAGTCCCTACTGCATTGCAATGAGAAGTTGATATTTTATTGAGGTAGTAGAGGTACTAAACTTCTTATGATCAGTATAAGAAGAACAATAATTTTATTTTTATTTGTGTTCAGAGACATATCAAACAGTTTGGTATAGCAATATGACATTTTTTTATGTTGATTTTTCAAGTTCAATTGCTTTGTTCTATTATGATCAATGCACTGTTTTTGAGAAATCTATTTGGAAATTATTTTACCTTTCAAGCATGTATGATATTGAAAACTACTCTGCAGTATAGAAATGAATGAACAAATATTGTTAAATTTCGGTCATTTATATAGGATGTTGATGTCATAATATGTGGTACACACTTTTGAGAAAATGATTGAAGTATTGAAAAGGAATATTCTCAGATATATTATGAACTGCATTCTCTATGTGATGGAAATATTAATTCTTGGTGTAGTCAACAGAAAACAACTACTTTCCTGGCTATATACCATGATGAACGTTGATATATATCTATTGCACACATGATGAGAATTTGAAAATAAAATCTGAAGTTGAGAATTTGCATTCTCCTTCAGACGAGCCTTCAGATAAAAATATGTATGCACATGATATAATTCTGAATATTCTACAGACAACTACTTTCCTGGCTTTTTGCCATGTCGGACATTGAATCAAAAACATGAAAATAAAAATCCTCTGAAATTGAGAATTGACATTCTCTTTTAAATCAGATGAATAATATGATGTATAATGGATTTAAAAATATAACTTACCATTATATTCAGTATTGGAATGAAAATTGAAATGTCTAGGAGAAGTATATTTGTATAAACTCTAATCTTGATGAGCTTGAATCTCTAACAATCATTTTTATCAGTGATATCATCTCTCACAAACAGGTTATATTACTTTATTCACATGAACTCATTTCAGGTATCAAACCCTCCTCAGTAACCTGAAGCCCAGTTATTCTTTCAGCCATTCTTCATGAAATGAACAATTTTCATCTCTATAATATAACCTAAAATTATAAAACTGACATCTGAGAATAATTATTTGTTGACATTCAACTCCTGTCATCTGGGTGCTTTTGTTTTTGGATGCATGACAAACTGATATTCATCTTACAGGACATGGAAAGAAATTCTGAATTGAGAAAACCCAATCACAAATCTGTGATCAGAGGTCTATAAAAATAACAAGTTTCCATCCTTCAAGTTTGAACCCCTTGATTGGGTATAACAAAGTATTGAAACATTGGTCAAAAACTCATTGAGCATGCCAATTGGTCTTGAACATCTACAGGGAGATATTTTTCGACGGGTCACGTCACGCCTTATTTCACCCTGAACTTTTTTGTGGTGCGCCGTTAGAGGATTTCAAATAACAAGATGCAATATACTGTTCTCTTGGAATCTTTTTTTCTCTTAGTTTTTCCGTATCAGCTACCGTTTTTTAGAAAAAAAAATGTAATGAAATTTAGACATATCATTTTCATGAAGACTTTCTTTGTTTTTGTCATTTTAGTTTTTTTTTAAATAACAGTCACAGATACAGGAAAGCTACAAGTGAACGAAACATTTCTGAGAGAATCATAAATTGCATCTTGTTTTTTTTTGTGAATTCAGCAGCGGCACACCACGAAAAAAATCAGTGTGAAAAAAGGGGGTATGACTCCTGAAGAAATATATTCTAGTAGTGTGGAAAAGGAATATTCTCAGATATATCATGACCATGATGAAAGTGATAAATCGGATCATAATTCTGGAAAGTGCACAAAAAGCTGAATCAAATGGTGTACTTTTTATTTTCCCCTATGCGGAAATTCGAGAATACAGGGTCCAGAAATATAATCAATATTCGTTAATCCGGACCTGAATTTTTATCGTAACTGGTAGGTGAGTCGCTTGGGTAGAAGAAGAAGGAATTGTGTACCAAATTCCAAATAATATACTGGGTGATTCGTAAGTTATGTAATCACAAAGATTTGGAACAAAATTGACATTACAAAACAAAAAAAATCTAATTCTACTATCGGTCAATTTTTCAATCACTAATAATTTTCGACAAAAATATGATTTTCTTCAGAAAATGATAATCCCCGCTTCAATTTTTTTTATGTCTGATGCAAAGTTGATGTATCGTCTATCATGCAAGAGCGAAATTTATTTGAATTGATTATCTATCAAAATATCATCAAACTACTTTACATATCTAATCAAAGTTTAGGACTGTTTTGTCGAAGTTACAATGGGAAGAAATAAAAAATATCAACAAACAAAAGTTGCAATAGAAATTTCAAATTAGAGACACCTGTGTAAAATTAGAATAGAAACAACTTTTCTTAGCAAAATTTTCGCAAATTTGAACAATTAAGCCTATTTTCAGCGACAGGGTGGTTCAAGATTCAGAATTCTGATCACCTTGTTTCTATTCCGATTAAATATCAGTGAATAGTAAATCAAAAGTTGAGATAGGGACATGTGAGCCGTTTTGGTCGATAATAAAAATCTCGATTTTGAACACCCTATATCTCTGTAATCATTTCCGATATAAGTTTGACGTATCGATGAGAATCTAAAAATGCAATGAAATACAGGGTATTCTATTTGAAATAAAAAAGTGGTTGCTACTTTTTGATAGAAGCGGCAACACTGCATTGCTGAAATAATTTTAAATGAAAAATATAAGCATGCATATTTTCATGTATTTCCCCCGACTTATGCTCGATATAGTTATAGTGTAAACTCGTCGTGACATACCCTGTATAGGTGAGTACCTAAACTTGAAAGTAGGTATAGTTTATCCAAAGTCAATTGGAGAGTCTCGAGCCGCGGGTGAACTCATTTCAAAATATGGATAGACTATACTGGAAGGAATTTGAAACCGAATGTCATGAATATCTGCCGTGTAATTCAATACAAATTGAAATTTTGAATAATCCACCATAAGAAATCAACCATCTAATTATGCAATGCAATTTTCAGTACCACGAATTTTCAGGTAGGTAGGTAAGTCAATAATACTTATCAAACAGTTATTTGATGAAATGAAAAAAATCGAGAATTGAATATCCGACTAAACATAGCTTTCTGTCCAAATTGGTATCATTGTCAAGTCCATTGTGCATTTTATTGGCACCCACGAGAAGGTGACGGCATTACCAATCCAAATTGCTTGCGCGCTGACGTCACACGTTTCGCGGCCATGTCTGATCGTTTGAATTCTCTCATTCATTTTGGCGTTTTCAAAAAATTTTTATACGATGAATTGATAGAAAAAATTATATCAAAAAATCATTTCAAGGTATTCCTTCTAGAAATGACTGAAAAGGCTCATTGACCATTTGGATTCGAAAATATAACGCATGCTTTCATTTCCACCAAAAATGTTGGAATAAAAATGTCAACAGATTCAACATGAAACATTATCTCGAAGATAACATTCCGAATCTGTCACAATACCTGTAAATTTGGTTTGAAACTATGGAAATTCAGCAAGATTCTCCTACGCGTCGCTATTTTCACAAATAATAATTATTAATGAGCTTTATTGAATAACCAATAGGCTACCGACCGAGGTCCTTAAGGCTGTATTACATAGTGATTATGTAAAAATTTACAATCATCATTATTGGAATGTACATACAAAAAGTATAATTATTTCAATTTGATAGTAAAAAAATATGATAATTGTGAGGGAAGAAATTGAAGGAAGTCAATTTTGTGTTTTCTGCAGCATTCCATCAATGTGTTTTTCGGGTAATTCGTCTTGGGTTTCCTGATGGAGCTTTCTGTAAGGAGATTGGATTGGAGATTGGATTCGTTATTCGTTATACTATTCTATTTTCAAAAATCAGGCGATATCTCCAGTAGGAAGTAATTACGCCATTTAAATTTTTATAAATCCATGATGTGATAGTTCACTTAGAGTTTTAGAGTAAAAAACATCAGATATCTATAGCATTAAAAAATCAATTTTAGTTGTTAAGATGGAGTTTTGTCAGAATAACGTGCTGAGAAATATACTGTGCCCGTCTAAAGTATGTTCCTCCCCTACTAATGTTTGAACCACTTGGTATATCGCACCGAATCTTGGAAGGCTCAAATTGAAGGTAAAAACCGACTTTTTCATCAAAAAACGACAGCTGAAAGTTTTGGAATGGCGGCCAAGCGCCATGTTGAATTATTTTTTCAAATGGAACACCCCGTATATTATTCCATTTCCGAAATTTCATAATTCTCAACAGTATCATCTACTCCTAAATTCAAAAGTTTTCGAAACATTCACGTTCAGAAAGCCAACCAAAAACTCGAATGATGCTTTCAATCATGTTTGCTTTGGAAAAAATCAAAATGTCACTTTTCAAACATATTTAAAAACTATTCAATGTAGGAGTGAAATGTATTAGATGAATCGGTTAAGAATTATGAAATTTCGAAAATGGAATAATATATTTGATGTTCCATTAAAAAAAATAATTCAAGATGGTGCTCCGCCGCAATCTTGAAACTTGAAGCTTTAATTTTTACATGAAAAAGTTGGTTATCATCTCCTATTTGGGGTCTCAAAATTTCGACGCGATCTACCAGGTGGTTAAAAAATTAGCGAAATGCTACCTTGGTGATCGATATCTGTTTAGCCGAGATGAAAAAATAGTCGAGATGACCAAAGTATTTCGCGCTCGAGTTGCAAACATTTTTTCTACAAACGTCAAAAAATATAGTTCTAAAGTAGAAATATGCTTAGCTTGATATAAAAAATAGTGTTGAACTGGCTTAAAAGGCCTCTCCCTATCTTCCCTAGGTACGCACGATGTTCCACTAACATAATAGGAAGTTCCTTCCGTGCGTTCCAAGAGATAAAACATAGTTATTGTAGAACATTCAGAAATAAATGATTTCGTGGATGTTTACTTTGCGCATTGTTTTGTTCAAGGTATCATGGTAACGTAGGAAAGTGAAAAAAAGTGTCATTGTCATTTTTTGACGTTCGAAGAAAAAAATAGTTTCAATTTGCAAGTGTTGCGAAAAGTAATTGATTCAAATTTGTTGTTAACATATGTCTGAATTGAATTTACCGCTATGGGCAAAATCGTCCTCATTAGTCTGAAGTTCATTATTTTGAAGTACTAACCCTATAACTAGTTCACTCGCAAACCGAATTTTCCCCCGAGCTCTGTACATTTTTCGAATAATCATTGAAATTCACGATATTTCGTAACATGAAAAACGCGTCACTTACTCATCCGAAAAAATTCGACAAACATATCTATTCTCCTTGTCTGTTAGACAAGTGCAGCATTTATTCTTTTTCTCAGCCCGAGGCAGACCAAAAAAAGGTGCTGAAGAGAGTAATGACTCCCAAGAGTCAGAAACATCTGTGAATGAAAATGAAGATCAACCGAAAAGCAATGAAGAGGCCAAGACTGAGGTTGAATCAGATGCGGCTAACTCTCCTGATGCAAAAGAAGAAACTGGCAATAACAATGCTGAGGCTCCAAAAGTGAGTAATTACCTGTATTGATTTTTTTCATAGACAATCGTATTGATGAAGTTAACTTCAGGCTAGTTTTCATCAAATAATTAGTTTTCTTCTATTCATCTAGATTCTAGAATGATGTAGACATTGAATATGACTAACATTAGTATAACAGGAAAGCCAAGAGAAGAATGAAACAAACTCAACATTCTTTATTGTGGTCTAGGTACTCACTTTTTTCCGTGGGAAAAAAGTAATTTATGAAAAGTGACATTTTGTAACCTGACAACTCAGATGAAATGTCAACTTTTTTCCCATCACAGAAAAATAACATTTTTTTAAAGTTCAAAAAACAAAGGCCTTATTTTCAAATATGTTATAAAAATGGTTAATAGTGAAAATTAATGTTTATTCAAGAACGGCAAAATCTAGAGCTGACTTGTTGATTGATGATGACTCAGTGTGGTTTCTTTGCTAAAAAAATTATGATAAACTTTGTTGGAGAAATATTGACCAATCATTAAATATTTCTCAGAAGTTATTCATTACAATAATGAACATATAATCAAACTATATAATGTATTAGCTCACTTGATTAATGACCAATGCTAGAAGACATGATTATATACCAAGGTAAAGAACACATTTCTTCCACCACTAGCTATAGAACATACCATTATTTACTTGTTTTGAATGCATAAAGTGTGTATTTACTACCAAGTTAGCTTTCGTCATTTTATGAACCACTAGTCAATAAAGACATAGCCACTTCTGTTATAATTTACCTGAATTCACTGTTCTGAGGCGATATTCACAGGAATTTCACTCGAATCTGTAGTTATTTATCAATAATGACTTGTCATATGCTGTCATGGTGACTAGATTTGAATTAGAATTGAAAAGTGCTTTCATAGTGACATAGGTTCCCATTTCAGTTTCACAGAACTATATTGATTGAAATATATACCGGTGTGAAGTTAGCAGCCATTTTCTAGCAGCCAATTTTCATGTCATGTCATACCATTCGACCTATTCAGTAATGCCTGTGCAGAATATGAAGTTGGCTAAACATTTCTGAAGGGTGTTTATGATATTTCAATATATGGAAGGGTGGTAAGTACCCGCTAGACGGCCTGCAAATCAATCATCTCATGACATGGTGTTCTCGACCCATTTAGTAATGCCTGTGCAGAATATGAAGTTGGCATAACTTTTCTGAGGGGTGTTTATAATTTTTTGAACATTTGGAAGGGTGATAACTACCCCTTAGACGGCCTGCAAATCAATCATCTCATGACATGGTGTTGTCGACCTATTCAGTATAGCCTGTGCAGAATATGAAGTTGGCTAAACTTTTCTGAAGGGTGTTTATGATTTTTCAATATATGGAAGGGTGGTAAGTACCCCTTAGACGGCCTGCAAATCAATCATCTCATGACATGGTGTTCTCGACCCATTTAGTAATGCCTCTACAGAATATGAAGTTGGCTAAACATTTCTGAAGGGTGTTTATGAATTTTCAATATATGGAAGGGTTGTAAGTACCCCTTAGACGGCCTGCGAATTTATCATCTCATAATATGGTGTTCTCGCCCTGTTTAGTAATGCCTGTGCGGAATATTAACTTGGGTAAACATTTCTGAGGACAGTTTTTGATTTTATAATTTTTTTTCAAATATAACCGACGGCACTGGTGATTTGGCTGCCAAGTGAAAATTGGCTGCTAGAAAATGGCTGCTAACTTCACGCCGGTGAAATATATTGCTAGTGGTGAAACAATTTAATATACACATTGGTAGTAAAGAATATTATTACCATGGAACCTTATACCCCTCGGCTATTTGGGTCTATTCTCAAACCATTCGAATTCAAATTGTATACGAATAAAGAAAGATGATCTTACGTATGTGATGTATATTGAAGTGGAATAGACGATCTAATTCTTATAGGAAATACACTCGAGAATAGACCCCCTGGACTGAGCTATATCAGTTAGAAATGAGGGAGCGAGGCGAAGATGGTCTTTTTTTACCATGGTTTATACAGGCTGTTAGTGAATAAGTGCGACAAACTTCGAGGGGTGGATTTATTGTGATATTTTAGGAAATTGAGGTCATATAAACATGTCTCATAGCTTGCTTCGTCTTTTATATACAGGATATTTTAGTTGGGAGTATTAATTGTTTCTATTTTTTACCCACTGTTGAAGCTTTCATGATGGCAAAATTCAGTATGAAGAGAGATAGACAAAGTCCCAAAATCTCGAAATGACTCTCATTGAGGATATTGAGTAATTCAATGGGTGTCTTGAAGCAATTACATTAAAATTTGAAGTCAAATGGAATTTTATTTTTTTCCTCAAAAACTTAACGAGATACAAAAGTAACACAAGGAAAAGGAGGTTGTTACTTTAATTAGTCAATCTATAACAAATATGGAACTAAGAAAAACCAGTGGCGTACAATGATATTCACCATAAATTATGATTAATTAACCCACTGTTATGCAACTGGAAATATTATTTAGAATCTAATCACACCAAAAGGAGCACCATGTTACTATTAACAAAACCATAAAGTTTTATTGGAATTGATATGAAGACATTTGAGTAATGAATGAAACATTTTTCATGGAAATATTGATACCCTGTATTTCAAAAACGAAGCAAGATAGGAGACATGTTTATATGAACTTTATTCCCTAAAATATCACAGAGAATCACCTCTTGAAGCTTGTCGCACTTTTTCACTAACATCCTGTATATGAGTTTTTTAACTACTGGCACACGTATTGATTTTTTCACCTAAAATCTTCAATTTTTCATGAATACTTCATGTTTTCTCTGAAATTCGTTCAGATCAGTAATATTTTACATAAGAATCAACTTCAGAGCATTTCAAAGATGACATCAATCAATCAATCAACTTTCTTATTCCCAAGAAACAACATTTGTTTATAGCAGGGAACATGGTGAAAACATAAATATATTTGACAAAATAAAATAAAGAAGACAGTAAAATAAGACTCACACTCAAGAAGAATCTTTTTTTTTTCAAGTTCAACTGAAAATGATTCTCAATTGAATCAGCTGTTAGGTACCCAATAGAAAACTAGTAGTTGTACAAGAAAACTATAAAAATGAGATAAGATATCAATATTACAGGAGTAGATGTTTCTTGAATTCGGTTTTGAATTTTTCAATCCTATTAATCAGCTTCAAGTTATTTGGTAGTGAATTGTATTGTATCATTCCATTGTGTTAGATGGATTTTTTACCAATATCTGATTTAATTTTCTTGACAGAAAAATGATTTACTTGTCTAGTTGTATGGTTGTGGTGATTACTATTAATGTGGAAAACCAAATTTGAATGCTTTTGACAATGTTTAACTGAATGAATGAACGACATTAATTTGAATTTATATAGTGAATCTATATCTAATAACTCTCTTCTTCTGTAACGGTTCATAGTAGGTTCTGAATAATTTAGTCTGTATATACATTTGAAAAATCTATTTTGAAGAGTTTTGAGAAGTGCAAAAAGAAAAACGATAGGTGGAAGATTTCATACATGATGGTATGTTCTGGAGGTAGTAATGGGAGGAGACTATCCTCACCTATCTTGGCATATAATTACTATTAATATCTGATTTTATAACATGATGAATTATAGGAGGCTGTAGAAACAACTGAAAATGGGGCCAAAGAAGACAGCGTAGATGCACCTGCCTCAGAAACTGAGAATAAAGAAGAAGAAAGTAAAAGCATCGCCGACGAATCAGAGTCAGCTAGTCCGGAGGCGACGGACGCTGAAAAACCTGCGGAATAAAAACATATTTTCTAATGTTAAATTTTCTTTTCTATTGAATACTGTAGGTTCAACAAGCAGCCCAAATTCTTTTTTAATAATATTGTGTTATCCTGGAACGGATGTACAAACATTACTTGAAAAATAATTTGTGATTATGATAATTTTTCAAGGTAAGGTAGAACGAGCATGAGCGGAGCTAGATAATTACTGTTAATAATAATATATAGGTTAGGTGTCATCTTATTTTGTACATTTCTATTGTTTTAACAGTAATTATTGTAAGTTTAACGTTTTTATTACCTACAGACAAGTTGAAACATATTTTATCAAATTAACAGTAGGGTAGGAAAGTACATAGTTGAGAGTGTATGTACCTGAATCTCTCAACGTCCCTGGATGTTTCTTTCAGATAATTGAACCTTTTCAAATCATTTTTCTTGTAGTTAAAACTCTAAAACCACAGTCCTACTCATCTTGTTGAATCAATAGTGTGCCATAAGTTCACTTGAAAAATGCACTATTTTTTTTTCTTTGCTTGCTGGAACTCCTGAGAACATTACTCGACAGTTGTTGAGTTGACTTGGTACATACTTCAAGGTTAGAAACACTTATTTTTCTACATTGGAATTGACATATAAAATTGACTTATAGTTTGAACATTGAAAATGATGTTTGGTGATATGTATTATTAATTAATGCAGATCTATTTTATGACTTCAATTATTTTATATTTTGATTCTTTGGTGTTGGTACTAACATCATCATTCCAATAGTCTTCGCACAAATGATGGGTATAGAATAGATTATTATTGAATTTGGGTTCTTCCTAGTGACTTCTGCAGGAGATTCTGTTTTCATGAATCAAGTTGAATCTACCATCTCTATATAACAGTCGATATTCTGTTGGTCAATTACATACTTTGAACCTTATTGGATTATTCACATACTGGGCTCTAATTTATGATGATTCACCCTGAATTACATCGATCCGTAAAAGCTTACCAGAAATATTTCAAAAACAAACGTAGTGAATGGTGAATTTTTTTTTGTTGATTCAAAACATCACTAATGATATTTGCAGTAATAGTTAACAACAAATAACATCAGATAGGTATTACATTTTATTTTCTTCGTATCTTGAAATAAATACCTCATTCCATCCCATTGAATACAAATTTCGTGCGAATATCCGAAGATTTTTCTGTGAAATTAAGAAGATGTTACGACCTTCAAGTTCAGCATTGTATTGTAGGACAAATTCTCCTGCTGGGTCGTGTGATTAACCGATTGCCGCTTTAATTACAATTTGAATTTATTTAATTTGATTCTAACAGTGTTTACATGGAACGAATTCATCATCTCCCAAATCGTATCAATTTCCAAAAAATACGCCAAACGTATTGAATTTATTATTTGAAGGCGTATTTTTTTCTATTCTAGAATTGCGTGAGTGGGTGCGTGCGTGTGTCTAATAGATTGCAATATGCATTCGTCAAAATGTAGAAATTATTTTTCATTTGAATGATCCCACAACCTAAACGACTTGATCTATTATTATTACAATCAGTTGAATTGGGGATCAAATATTTTTCATCATAAATGTTCAACTCCTTGTATTTAAGTTACTGATAGGTACACCATGTTCAACTTTGAATGGTCACCCTCTTTATCTCGATTATTACGTCAGATCGTGGCTGTGCTGTTTTGATAATCTTTGGTAGAAGTCCATGGTTTCTCTAAGTGGAGTCAAGTATTAAATACTAAATGATACACGAAGTCATCTCCACGACTTTTAATGTGATAATCACATCGAAAATTGGTACAGGTTTCGGACATATACAGGGTGATCCACGGTGGATGGCCTATTAGAAGTATCTGGAGAACGAAAAGACAAAACATTCTGAAAATTGGGATGTTCTGATAATTGAACATTCTCTATCCGTCTAAAATATTTGCATCGATACAGTGTTGCCACTTCTATCTGAAACAATTAACAACTTTGTCATTTCAAATAGAACACCCTGTATTTTATTGCATTTTTAGATTCTTCCTGAAGAGCTGATTTCATCAATGCATCACACTTTGGGTCTATCGTAAATGATTACAGATATATAGGGTGTTCAAAATCGAGATTTTTCAACTTTAGGATTTTTTTGTGTCGAAATTATTCATCATCGATCAAAATAGCTCTCATGTTCCTATCTTAACTTTTGATTCACTATCTACTGGAATTTAATTTGAAAAAATACAGGGTGCTTCAAGATTCAGAATTCTGATCACCATGTATCTGTTCCAATTAAATGTCAGTAAATAGTGAATCGAAAGTTAAGATACGGACATGCAAACCTAAAATTTATAAATCTCGATTTTGAACACCCTATATCTCTGTAATCATTCCTGCTAGACCCCAAGTGTGATACATTGATGAAATCAGCTCTTCAAGAAGAATATAGAAATGCAATGCAAATGCATTTAAAATAACGAAGTTGCTAGTTGTTTCTGATAGAAGTGACAACACTGTATCGATGAAGATATTTCAGACGAATAGAGAATGTTCAATGATCAAAGCATCCCAATTTTCAGAATGTTCTGTCTCTTCGTTCTCCAGATACTTCTAATAGGCCATCCACCGTGGATCACCCTGTATATGTCCATCATCAGCCTTATGAGAAATTCCATAATTATTGTCATGGGGTTGAAAAAAGGTTATGTCACCAACTTTAACATTATAATAAAATTATTGATTTGGGTTTTAATGTAGAAAATTAAAATGGGGGAAACCCTACATCAAAACCCAAATCAATAATTTCATTATAATGTTAAAGTTGGTGACATAACCTTTTTTTATCCCCATGACAATAATTATGTAATTTCTCATGAGGCTGATGATGGACATGTATATGTCCGAAACATGTATAAATTTTTGATGTGTTAATCACATTAAATGTCGTGGAGATGACTTCGTGTATCATTTAGTATTTTGTGCTATTTTGACTTATTATACCATCTTCCACACAGCTGAAGATGTTGATGGTTGTAAACCCGTCATCCGCCGTTCATTTTTAATGAAAATTCACCATTCTCACCCTGAAAATTGAGAATAATGATGTTGATTTTCCAGCCAAACATCGATCCGTTATCATTGTCGACAAAACTGCTTTAACTAACGTTTTCAAGAATCAATATTATTTCATTAGAATTGCATGAATTATAATCAAGATGAAGAGGGGAGGGCATATTACTTCAATGGAAATATCATGTATTTTTCAAATTTATCATATTGGATTGCTCAAATCATTCTCCCGTTTTATTCAAAGTTATGTGTTGACTTTCTTTAGCAGTTTGACATTTTGTCCCAATTTTCCCTTTTCCTGGTGTTTGTTACTAATCCAAAGCCATATCTTTGGAGAAGCGAAGTATAAGATAGTAATAATAGTGGTCATTTGGATGAAAAAATAAGTGAGCTTCTCAAAAGAAAATATGTTTGGAGAGGCCCATTTTTCATTCTGTACTGAGGCATCGCGATCGGATCTGCTTTGATTATCTTGAGCTCAAAACGATGGGTGTAGGTGTAACATGTAGAATGAAACAAGCTCCATTTATTTTGATATATTGAATTATAATTATGAATAATTGATACTGGTACACATCGCTATTTTGGAGTATTTTGGTTTCCCTTGAAAGGGAAGTTGTAGAATTTATGTCCAGGGATACCTGAGTATGCCAAGCAATGCACATCATTAATCTTTTGTAATGAAGGTTCAACATAAAGAAACATTCATAACATTATTTTATCATCACAGTGCAGGTTACTGATATTTGAAAAGTTGTTTTCTTGTTTATGATGTCTTTTAAATATAGAATGCAGTCTCATGATATCCTGTAGATCATTATAAAATAATTCATTGTTTGTATTATCATCAAATTAACGTAGTAATATTAATATATTTTAGTTTCATTTCGAAATGAATTGTCCTGATTTTATATTTATGTAAAATGTATGGTTGAATATAAATGTGAAAATAAATTTTCATTAGACGATTATAATATTGAGTTTCCATTAGTCCTTTTTCGTTAAAATTGAAAATTTGTCAGGATTATAACTGATACTGATTGGTACACATTGGATTATTCACAAGCGTCCTTAGTGGTTAAACTACCTGCTCTGATTTTCTATGAGTGTATATATGTATACCAGACATTCCACCCGTTGAAAGTCGAATGATCGAAATCGTCTTTCGTCAACGTACTATCAGACGCATTCTGCTAGGTCTCAAAAAGAATAAGCAGGCTCGATAACAGTCCTGATGGAATTCTACACACTGTTCTCAAGAAGAATGCACCAGAATTGGCACCGATTCTCTGCAAGTTATTCACCATCTGGTATAAGTCGGGTATGTTTCCATCTTGCTGGAAAACAGCTATAGAGTCCAACCAATTCCCAAAAAAGGGAACAGAAGCCTGCGCAACAACTTGGTATAGGCCAATTATTGCCCTCCCAGACAGCACCATATATTCCATGAATCTCCCTATCATTCCTTTTGGAATATTGGAATATTCTAGAAATAATCTGGAATATTCCGGAATATCTGTGGAATATTCTCTAAATATGCGAATGGGAATTCCTCAGATAATCATAGAATATACCCAAAAGAATATTCTACGTTGAATGTTCCTGGAATATTCCAATAGACATATTCTAAAATAAAAAAAAGTGACCCAAGTAGGGATCGAACTCGTGACCTCAAGACTATCAGAGCAACGCCTTGACCACTAGGCTAGTAACCGAATTGAATAATGTTATACATATCAAGTTCTTGTGAGAGCATTGTTCGAAATCGGATCATAAACACTTTTTGTTTCAAAATCCCCTTACATCAAATTGATGTTCGATACTTACATCTCTGAAATAATAAATGGTATTTATGTGTTGGGAAACATAGGAATATTCATGGAATATTTCATGAATATACACCACAGAATATTCAGTTGAGAATATTTCATGAATATACCGCACAGAATATTCAGTTGGGTATATTCCATGAATATACCGCACAGAATATTCAGTTGGGTATATTTCATGAATATACAACAAAGAATATTCAGTTGGGAATATTCCTGGAAGATTCATACCTGAATATTCCCTGAACATGTCCGACTATTCACTTTGGAATATTCCTTTTAGATGTTTCTGAGGCATGTATATATATTCTAGGAATAATCGATGAATATTCGGAATATACTCCTCCTTTTTAGCATATTTGGAGAATATTCTATGAATATCCAGTGCTGTCTGGGCTGTTATCAGTCATGTCCAAAGTGATGGAAAAAAGCGATCAACATTTGATCTCATTAAATATCTGGAAAGCTCAGGAATCATTAGATAGACAATATGGCTTTCGCTACCGAAGATCAACTGGAGATTTACTTGCCGACGTCACCCATATATGGCAAGCTTCATTAGAATAACATGGGGAATCTCTAGCTATGGCGTTGGATATAGCGAACACATTCGACCGTGTTTGGCACCAAGGACTCCTCCACAACTCACTATGCCATCTTTTATCTAGTTTCCTTTCATGCAGATCGCTCCATGTGGTGGTGGACGGAGTATCTATCGTCTGATGCCATTGCCTTCAATTCCGGCGTTCCACAAGGCTCAATTTTGGAACCAAAACATTGTTCCGACTTGATATATAAATGGGAGCAATCACTTTCCCTATCCACCAGCTTTGAAGACGATAGTATACTCTCTATACTGCAATCTCTTCTAGAATTTTTATTTCTTCCCAAAAAACTGAGAACTTACGACGAAGGCAGAGGTCAACGCTGTCAATGACGATATTGCTTAAATTGCAGCCTGGGGAACCAACAAACCTAGTTGAATTCTATATACGCTACCAAAAACTCAAGCCTGTATATTTTCTCTAGAAAGGCGAAACTCGGAGTATATGCCTGGCATGACAATGATGTCTGGTACCACCATTCCAGCCAAGACCAATCTTGCTATGGTGGGTCCACTCTCCAATTTTTTCGATAGACTAACTTTCGATATGAACAATTTTATGGAATGCGACTTCGGAACGTGGGGTTCTCATATTCGATGAAAAATTTCTTGGAAAATTTCAGAATGCGTTTCGAATCTAATAAAGTTGAACTAGACGTTCAAGGATGTATTTTCCTTCTTTCGCGGGATCTGAAGAGTTTCGTTGATAATTCTAAGATTTTCTGCAAGCGAATGCGCAAACTTCCAAAATTTATTATCACGTGTTGCGATGGGACCAATAAGGACTCGGATATTGGTATTCTTTGAAAGATTCAGCTCAACTTCAACTTTTGTTTGACCATGGTTGGCAACGAATGAAAAATTATGATTTAGACATCTTGACTCAACTTCTGTCACTTCTGACACGTTTTCGACATATTCATAATTTTGTTCGAAATTCAAAAAGAAATACAATAAATACTATGAATGATAATTGATGAAAGCATTATTGATTTATTGAGCAGGTATTGATATTATATTAGTTGAGTTCAGATTATTGTACAGTCGTATTCAATAAAAAAGCGTACAAGTATTAAACATAGAAGATTTCGGCATTCTAGTTCTCGTTGTGTAAAATTGGCCAGCCAATGCTTTGTGTTTTTGAGAACCTACTGTCAACATTTGGTAAACATATTCATTCCCGATAGCTCGTTTTACGCAAATAGGATGACGTTAATTTCTCCCTCCAATAATATACTTGTACACTTTTTTTTTAATACGACTGTACTTGTGCATGTATTGGACTAACGTTGCTGTAATGTGTAAGGATTATCAAAAAATCCGAGAATTCGTTTCATGTACCAAAAGTGAGAAAACAAATTATCAGAGGATTTTCTTGAGTAAAAGGACTTGATTCCATTTCCACCAAAAAATGTGAAAATGAAAATGTAAAGTCTAATGAATCTGTCATGATGTCATTATCACGTAGGCGATATTGAGAGAATTCGATACTCTTTTCAATAGGAAGTGACAACACCATTTGAATTTCCATACATCTATACTATATCTATGCTCGCTATTTCCATCAGCTATAATCTTTCATGGGAAAATCTTGTCCGATCCATCGCGAAAGCTGCTTCACAAAAACTCGTATTTTAATTCCATGATGCGAAAATCTACTCTTCACCTCAACATCTTTTCATGATCTACAAAGCAAAGATAGGGCAAATTTTAGAATACTGTTCTCAGCAACCAAACGAAAAGGGATATCATGTGTGCACGCAAAAACTTCGCGTCGTTCGCCTCTAACTATGTATTTGCGTGCGGAAAAGTAACACTTTGCGCACTTGTTAGGAAAAAAACTATATCAGGTTTCCGCGTTACCAGTTCGTCCAGACCGATAAAACTTCCTATCTTTTGTCATTTCCGGGTTGGATAAACGTGGCCTCTAACGAACTAGTGGAGTAATAACTTTTAAGCCTGATCTAGAGATTAGACTCAAATGTACGATGTTCCAGCTCACGGTGAGGATTGTGTAGAATTGAACCCAAAGGGGAAGGAGTGAACCCTATAATAATGTAGAATTGAACATTGCCAAATTCTCAAACATACGGTACATACCTGCTCAGCTGCTGAGGGGTTCAAAATGGCGGCATGTGACAATTCGTAAAAATCCCCAGCATGGGAAATCTTGCTTTGGATGACAAACCACAATGATTCTATACTAAGACCACAATAATAATAATAGTTATTTATTATACAAGGGAAAAAAGTAGTAGATTTTAGCTCCAGGAGACAAAAAACCGTGAGCTAAAATCTAATATTTTTCCCGTGTATAATTAATACACTATTTTTTTCTGTGACAGAAGGACGAATCAATATTGAGAAGATATTACATTATTTCGAAATCTGAAAATTATCGACGTGAAATTTCAAGTTTTTAACAGTAGGGACACCTGCGTTTTATAGACATCTTTATCATTCTTTTGAAGTAATCAAATATCTGATGTCACTTCTGTCAGTTCAATTCTGTGATTTGATTTTGAAAAATTGCGAATTAAGTAGTTGTTTAGTAATATACGAAACCGCGAAGTCGAATGGAAGATAAAAGGACTTGCAGTTCTTTCTCGGAGACGGTATTATTGACTCATTTTTCGGAACTATAGCACAACAAAAGCCATTAACAGAGTATATATATGTGATATATATCCGGGAAAAAAGTACTCACTTTTTTCCCACGGGAAAAAAGTAATTTATGAAAAGTGACATTTTATAACCTGCCAACAGAGATGAAATGCCAAACTTTTTTCCCGTCACAGAAAAAAAGAAATATTGTACATACAGAGGTAATCAATAAAAATCTACTATAAGCACAGCCGTCTTCAACTAGACGGCTGTGCTATAAGTGATGATATATGATTATTGAAACCTGCTACGGTAGGAATCACAAAAGCCGTCTCTCGTATAGTCACCACAAACTTCACTTGAATAATGAGAACTGTCGAACATTTGCCATATCTTAGATCACTATGGGCCATGTATGGACCCATTTCAAAATATTGATATACAGGGTGTTGTTTCGACTCGAAACCTACTTAATAATTTTTCCAAGGCCGGCCCTGGAATATAAGACTTCTTCTCATTATGTTATTCGTCACCACTGATGTGGACAAAGGACATACAAACCAAATATCAAGAAAATGTACCCAGACAGCACCAGATATTCCATGAATCTCCCTATCATATTCCTTTTGGAATATTGGAATATTCTAGAAATAATCTGGAATATTCCGGAATATCTGTGGAATATTCTCTAAATATGCGAATGGGAATTCCTCAGATAATCATATAGAATATACCCAAAAGAATATTCTATGTTGAATGTTCCTGGAATATTCCAATAAACATATTCTAAAATATGAAAAAAAGTGACCCAAGTAGGGATCGAACTCGTGACCTCAAGACTATCAGAGCAACGCCTTGACCACTAGGCCAGTAATCGAATTGAATAAAGTTATACATATCAAGTTCTTGTGAGAGCATTGTTCGAAATCGGATCATAAACACTTTTTGTTTCAAAATTCCCTCACATCTAATTGATGTTCGATACTCACATCTCTGAACTAATAAATGGTATTTATGTGTTGAGAAACATAGGAATATTCATGGAATATTTCATGAATATACACCACAGAATATTCAGTTGAGAATATTTCATGAATATACCGCACAGAATATTCAGTTGGGTATATTTCATGAATATACAACAGAGAATATTCAGTTGGGAATATTCCTGGAAGATTCATACCTGAATATTCTCTGAACATGTCCGACTATTCACTTTGGAATATTCTTTTTAGATGTTCTAGAGGCATGTATATATTCTAGGAATAATCGATGAATATTCGGAATATACTCCTCCTTTTTAGCATATTTAGAGAATATTCTATGAATATCCAGTGCTGTCTGGGTATAGGGTGCATGGTTCATATAAAGTTATATGATCAACTGAAAAAATTGGGAAAATTAAAAAAGTCACCCTGTATCTTGGTTATCAAGAATGATTATTTAGAAGCACCTTTGGTGTTCTTCATCTACCCTTACTGCATGCTCATTTCCAAATGAATCACCCTGTATAAGCCAAGCTTCAGAACATTTTTATTTTCTTCTACATTTTTTCGCGTTAATTCTTTCACACCTGATGTAGATGTATATATTATGTATATAGGCAACCCAAAGATCGCTTCATCTCCGATGCTTATAGCGGCCAGCTAGTTCCTCACCTGTCCGCTGAACGCGCTGATACCTGAAAACACATCATGTAAGTCAATTAGATTAGAGGTAGGTAACAGTTAACGGTAGTACGTTGCTTGACCTGGACTTGTCTACTTTCGGGTGCAAAGTTCTCATTCGCGTACTAAATCCATAAAAACAGTGATTTTGTGGGTGCAAAGAGTGTTATAAAGATCAATCCAACATGAACCTCAGGATAAACTAAATCCAAATCAAGGTAAGTTTAATCACCTATCGGAAATTGTGGTTTCATCACACAAATAAATTACACGTCTGCACCCTGGTTCTCTGAATTTCTCTTGAGTCTGTTGCGAGGTCTGTCACATACATCATCATCAGCTATAATTGTATAGATTCTACAATTTTACTGTAGGTATACCTATGAATTCGAAAACGAATCAACAAGTGGAAGGCAAACTTCAAAACATCTATACTTAGGATATATATAGGAGGTCAAGTTGATGATGGGTTCCATGTTCCATGTCCTTTATTTCTCCTCGTAGTTGGTAGAAATTCCTCAGGCAAAAATACATACCAATAACATTTCAGAATAGATATCTACTTATACAGGGTGTTATTTAATTGATGGCTGAAAATATAGGATATGGTTAAGAAGAAAAGTTTACATGAACATATGCCCTAAACCTCCTAACTTTCGAGCTATAGGATGTACAAATTTTATTTTTTCACAATGTAAAAAATTGTCACGTTTATGAATACTTGTCAAAATAAGACCGCACGAAAAAAAAATTTGCAAAATAAATGAGGTTTTCATAAATGATTTTCTCTTTCGAAAAATCGAGGGCATGCAATATATTTTTTTTAAAGTATCCAGGATACATCCCCTACGGACGCCACTGGTAGACATATTAAAAAATCTCCTGCATCGAAAAATGAGTATTGGTGTTTAATAGGTGCATGTTAAATTTCATGAAAATATCCAGTGGCAGATTTACCAGCAGGCTGAGTAGGCTAGAGCCTAGGCGTTACCCCCCAAGAGCGGTAGATTTTAGGGGGCCTTACATATACATAGGGATAACGAGTGTCGAAAATTTAACAAAAATTTCAATATTCTAGTACTGCACAGTATACTGAACACTCTATCGTCTGACTGACACAACGCAACCCTAGTTCAAAATCATGCTTGATAATAACGAGAAAAACTGATGTAATGAAGACGATAGAGCACAAATCATAAAGTTGCAATGTTATTGACAGAATATATGTAACTAATATGACTGCAAAAAATAAACAGCCTACTGGTGGCAAATTTGCAAATCCGCCACTGAAAATATCTAGAACAGTATTGAAGTTATGATAAGAAAACGAATTTGAACACCCTATAGCTCGAAAGTTAAGAGGTTCAGGGCATATGTTCATATCTCGGTTCATATGAACTTTTCTTCTTATCATCGTTCATTTTCAGCCATATTACACATATTACACCCTGTATATAGATATACCAACCTTTTCAGCCTGCAGATGATTGAATCCGTTACTTGGCAATATCAAAAAATAATACCTCTTACATACATAATAATAATAATTAATGTGCATGCTTACAGCCTTCTTTTCACTGTTATCTCGTGTCGCGTTGGACTTGAACAAATAATTGCATTAGTTATGTTTAAATAACTGTTTCGTCATTGCACGTTGAGCTAAAATTCATAAACAATCATCAGGTATATTCCTACCTCTACCTGTACCTGCTGCTTACCTATAGCAAGTAGTAGGTGCCTACTATAGGAAAGGAATAAATAATAGTGTCATTCATTGGCCTCGTTTATGTTTATTCTCACTTCGGTTAATAATAAGTATAACGTACTTATAATTATTATCAATTATTGTATGGTTATCATTGACTACCTATAATAATGTCTCAATTGAGGGGTAAATCATCAGAAATTGTGGAATAGGTAACCAGAGAGTTCGCCCGAAAGTACTTATGTATTTAATTGAGACAGTAAACTGTCGTGTTGGTCCGGGAAATCAATAAAATAATTCGTTTAGAATTTGCAAAAATTATTTGAAAAGTTCTGGAATTCGCGGGAATTCGTCGACTAGAAATATCGGGATTTCTTTAAGGCATTGAAACTCATTGTATGAGATCCGGATGCAAGAGAGCAACTCCAGGACCATCATTTACGTTCATCAACCATTCGCGAAACAGGGCCGAAGAGATTTACACTCAGTTTGGGACCGAGTAAACCAGAGCTGAAACTACTGCCCTCTGAAGTCTGAGGTCGCAATTATTGAGAGGTTTTCCTTGCCTATACCCTATACGATAAGACCGACGACATGACCCATATGACATACAATGTCCAATTTACGGACAATTTACCCTGAAACTTACCTTTTCGTCGCAATTATCGAGATGTTTTCCTTGCCTATACCCTATCCCTATACGATAAGACCAAAGACATGACCCATTTTTTTCATGTTCTGCTGGTTCCCACGAAAAGGAATATCCTGTAATGTTCAGGGAACATCGTAATAACCGAGTAATAACCAAGGAAAATAAGGTAGGAATTGGTGTTCTTAAATTTCTGAAGGTTATATGCTTTGAGGAACACCTCCCTTGGCATTGTGTTTCAGAGTTTTTGGAAAGAGATGTTCTGCAGGTCTCCAAAGTGACCACGAAGGGGTGCGAAGCCTCAGCTCGACGGGTTAATCTCGCGGGGACTGGCAAGGAAGAAACAATTGTTGATATTTCAGAAGAGCATCGTCCATGAAAATATTTATAAAATAGAGCCAGATTGCCAACTTTTCTACGGTGTTCTAGAGAAGTGAGTTAGTTTGTGAGCGAGGCATCACCCACGAGACGAATTGCCCTTTTTGGACAGAATCCAACAGTTTCACGGTATGTTTGGGTGCTGCACTCCAGATATGGGATATTCCAGGACAGGTCGGATCTGTGCCTTATAGATCATAAGCAGCTGACTGAAAGTGAATAGCTGCTGGCCTTAAACAGAAAACCAAGTTTTTCAGATGCACTTTTTGCAATTGATCTCACGTGATTTTCCTAAGAACGGTTATTGCTGATAGTAATACCAAAAGTATCGAAATGGATGTCTTCAAAGGTATGGTTACTCCTGACAAGCTTATGTTGGGCACAGTGAGATCGGCTTTTCTATAGAGAAAAGGTATGCTTGTGTTTTGTTTGCATTGAAATCCACCAATAAGTTAATGGATCCCCATTCGAGAATTGTTGCCAAGTCCATATTCATGTTGTTGTCAACATATAATGTACAATTTACGGACAATTTACCGTCATCCTTAAGAAAATATAATTAATAGCAATTTCAACGACTCTACCCTTCGCCCAACTTCAAAACTCTACATTTTTATCATAGTCCAACAAAACTAGCTCTTTTCTAATACAGGGTCTCGTACAGGGTGTTGTGAAGTTCATCTGAAAACGCTTCACAGGTGTTCAGTTCACTCAGATGTTCTATAACTCAAGTAGGGTTGACATTTTTGCATTCGGAAATTTCGTTCATGGTCAAACTTTAGGGTTGTGGTCAAGGATGTGGTGTCTGCTATTTCTCTCATATTTTCTCTGCCATTGGTAAAATTAAGATTATTTTCTTATTAATCGAATTTCTAATTCAATTAAGAAAAAACAAAACCAACAACCTCATTCAGAATAGTTGATCTCCAATTTACTCTTGCATATACATTTTTACACGTTTTTCATCATTTTAAACAACAGATTAATCAAACGATATTTTTTCCGAGTAGCATAGGTAGGTACATACATACTTCTCAGTAATTATACTGTATATAGCTGAACAGAAATATTCATTTCATGTAGAAAGGAATCACAAATATTTTTGTGATTTTCTACTACCTACTGAAAATGACTGACACAGCAGTAACCCAAATGGAACACTCACTCATATCAGTTGAATATTAATTGGAGTTAATGTTGGGGAAATATCATGGAAATATTCATTTCAAACAGTGGGTCATGCAATAAAACACTGTTAACAACCTGCGATCTTGGTGCTATATTGATTTTCAATCGTGTTTCCATGATATGGTCCATCATTTTTTATACAAAAAATGACCAAGATATGATATGCTAATAATATATCTAGAAACGAATTTTTTATTGTTTTGTGAATTATGTGAATTCGATATTGATGAATTCATGCTATATATTGACAAAAATAATGATGTGAATATTTTGCAATATTATTGTGATGTTAGATTTTAAATTTCAATCAATATTGGATTTCTCATTGCAGAATAATCACACTCAGTATAGACGAAGTATTGATTCCTAATATTGGTGGTTGATAAAATGGAAATAATATCAATACACTCTGATATTGGCTAAATGAATGTGAAGTGAAAATATGAAAACAATGTTCGCGGGAAATGTGTTATGCAATATTTGTATATGTATACTTGCTGCCCACCAGATTAAAAAAAAATAATCTCGAATGTATCTGTATGTTGAAAATCATATCCTCTCAGAAATTGAACTGATAAAATATTAATGAATTGATATTGGCTAAACAAAGAAACACATTTGGAAACAGTGTTCGCCGCAAATGTGAGGGAATATAGGAATAAAGTTTGGTTTATCAGTGCCACATTTGCACTGACTCGGAGTCGATTGTTTTTCAATGGTTTTTCACGTATTATTCAACTGTTACGCGCGTTATTTATAGTCGTGCGACTGTTGACGTCGACTTCAGCGCTTCCGTTATAGAAAAAAAAAAGTGTACCTACCTACTCCTACTTATCTCTATGAAGGCGTAGAAGGGCCACAAGCAATTTTTCTTTGGCATCCCTACTTTAATCTCAGGCGCCCGACTTTAATCTCAGACGCCGACTTTAATCTCAGACGCCCGACTTTAATCTCAGACGCCCGACTTTAATCTCAGGTGCCCGATTTTAATCTCAGGCGACCGATTTTAATCTCAGGCGCCCGATTTTAATCTCAGGCGCCCGACTTTAATCTTAGGCGCCCGACTTTAATATCAGGCGCCCGACTTTAATATCAGGCGCTCGACTTTAATATCAGGCGCTCGACTTCCATCTCGGGCGCCCGACTTTAAGTGGAGTCGTTGGTACTGTTGCACAACTGTTAATTGGATTTTTCGTCTCAACTCGCATTTTTGCGAAGGCATAGAAGTGTCACGGTTTTTTTCATTCCGAGTTGAAACTGATATAAATCTTTAAATAAATGATACGCCACAAATTTTT